GGAAGACCAACCACGATGGCGTCGCTGCGGGGATCATTACACCGTAAAACATGTCCTAATAGATTGTGCCCACCTGGCCATCGGAACGCATGCGCCATTTTGGATCTGAGTCCGTGCGCCGAACGCTCTACGCTATGTTGGGAGACGACTCGAGTTTAGTAAATGACGGCCACATTTTTAGTTGTCTTGAAGACATACAATTCCATGTCATAGATCGGACGTAGCCTTACCTCCCCGCTTTTTTTCACGCATCTGTTAAATAAAAAGTAGGTTATGGGCGCCATATGACCAATGGAGCCGGTGCGCCCCAAAGCCCAAATCATCATCACACACGAGCAGGCGTCTTTTGGGAGCTCTGCGGCGCCCTCCTGTCATAGGAAACCCCAACAGCACCCACACACGAGCAGGCGCCTTTTGGGAGCGCTGCGGCTCCCCGTTCTGGCGGTCATGCGTCACCGGGTGGGCGTGCGCGCGGCCGAGCCGTGCCGTCCGCTCTGTGGGGCGGCGCGTGCCCGGCTTGCTGACCAGCCGGCGGCGCGCGCGGCTTGGCGGCCGACGCGGATCATCCGCCCGCCGCCTGTCAGGTGGCGGACCCGCCGCTGTAAAAAGACAGCCGGCCCTGCCGAGCTGAGCCCGCTGTGCAGTGCGCACGCTGGCGGGGCGCCGTGCGCCGGCCGCTGACCGGCCCGCCTGCCCGCCCGCGTGACCGGAGCCTGTACCGAACCGCGCCACCGGAGCCGGAGCCGGAGCCGTAGCCGGCAGCTGGTTTGTCGGGGCCCACACGTCTACGCAGGAGGCGGACGGCTGGCGGCTGGGAGCTGCATTGTGCGCTCGCTGCGGTGCTGCTGCTGGGGGACTGGAGTTGGCAGCGGGGGCTGCTCGGGAGCGTATCCCGGGCCGGCGATGCCTGCACGCGAGCGTGCTGCCTGGCGCTCGCCGCTGCCGTGGGCGGCATAACTTTGCCGGTCAGTTCAACGACGGCTTATGGAGGTGACCGAAGTTGTCGGCGGTCTAGCTCCAACCACGCACACCAAGGACATGTCGAGTGGGGGGCCGTTCCGGCGTCAGCGACATGCTAATGCAGCACGACTTGGGGTCCGGCAGCCGGAGCAGGCCGGGTCGGTGTCAGGCTGGCCGCGGCACTGCTCGTGCAGTGGATGTCTGGCTCGCTTGGTATGCGCGACGCGCGGCCGCACCGGGCTGCGGCCGCGTCCGAGTTCGAGCCGGCGAGTGTCGCCACGGCCCGGGTCGGCTCGGACCGGTGCCGCTCGCCTGGCCGGGGTGCGCTCGTCACAGACCGCGCCGGGAGCGTCTCGCGTCGATCGATGGTGCCACCGCGCCCGTGCGCTTTACGGAAAGGCGACCCAGGCCGGGACTCGCGGCGCCTTGCCTGCCGCACCGCGATGCCCGTCGGGCGGTCCAGTTGACTGGCCCGGTGGCAGCGAGTCCGATTGGTCAGCCTGCGCTCCGTCGAGGCCGGTAATGGCTCTGCCGACGCAGTCTGGCATGCCGAGCACGCCGGCCGGCCGGCGCCGCTCGGCGCCCTGACGCCGGCGGCGGCGGCGGCACGTGAGAGGGCCGCCGGCGGTGGCGCGTCGACCGGCCGGCCGGCCTTGCCGCCCGCACGCCGGTGAAAGCGGCGCCCACTGAGCGGACGTCGGCTGCTCTCCCGCTGGCGGGTCGACCCCTGACCCGGCGGCGGCACCTTTGCACCGAGTCCGCCGCCGCCGCTGCCGTGCGGTGCCCACTGCCGGCAGCGGCCTGGCCGCGACACCCGCCGCCGGGCGTCGCGTGCGGACACGCTGCCGGTCGTTCGTGACCAGCGTGACGCATCCGGCAGGCGGAAGTCGGACATCTGTCGGCTGCACCGGCTGGGCAGCGGGTGTATGCACGCTACGGGGCCGGGCTGCCGCATGGCCGCCGCCTGACCGGGTGAGTCTCTGTGTGGCCGGCGGGCCGGCCCTGCCGCGCTCCAGCGCAGGTCGGCCCGGCGCGCTCGCCGTTTGCTGGCCGGTGCCGTTGGGGCGGCGTGTGCGGTGAGCTGGCCGGCCGTCCGTCGACGAGCTGCCTGCACCGGCGGACGATGCTGACGTCCGAGCCGCGACACCGGGGAGCCGCCGCGTGCAGCCGCGGCGCAGCGGCGCCGGCTGCCCGCCGCTCGGCCGCGATTGATATGTAAATGTGTGAAGACGCGGCGACCTCGCCGGACCTGGCCGGCCTTTTGTGGCGACCGGGCGCCGGCCATGGCGCCTGTAAGCCCCCGCCGGGCCATAGCGGTCGCCTCCTGCCTCCGTTTGCCGCGACGGACTGTTCCAACGTCTTTTTCTGTCCCCGTCAAGCTCTCTCCGCTCGCTCTTTGCCTTTGATCCTGCTCTTCTCGTTCACGAGCCGTCTCCTCCTTCGCGCTATCTGTTCCGTCTCGCTCCGTTTTTCTCCTTCGCCTCACTTTATCTCCCTAACGCGTCCCCACTGCCCACTGCTGCCGCTGTTGGCCGTTTGGGCCGTCGCCGACCTCCCGTCTGCTGTCTCCCCCCCCCCCCCCGCCGTCGCCGACCTCCCGCCTGCTGCCCCGCCGCCGCCGCCACTCTCTCTCTCTCTCTCTCTCTCTCTCTCTCTCTCTCTCTCTCTCTCTCTCCTCTCTCTCTCTCTCTCTCTCTCTCTCTCTCTCTCTCTCTCTCTCTCTCTCTCTCTCTCTCTCTCTCTCTCTCTCTCTCTCTCTCTCTCCTCTCTCTCTCTCTCTCTCTCTCTCTCTCTCTCTCTCTCTCTCTCTCTCTCTCTCTCTCTCTCTCTCTCTCTCTCTCTCTCTCTCTCTCTCTCTCTCTCTCTCTCTCTCTCTCTCTCTCTCTCTCTCTCTCTCTCTCTCTCTCCTCCTCTCTCTCTCTCTCTCTCTCTCTCTCTCTCTCTCTCTCTCTCTCGCTCTCGCTCTCGCTCTCGCTCTCGCTCTCGCTCTCGCTCTCGCTCTCGCTCTCGCTCTCGCTCTCGCTCTCGCTCTCGCTCTCGCTCTCGCTCTCGCTCTCGCTCGCTCTCTCTCTCTCTCGCTCTCTTTCTTTTCCTGTCTCCTTCTCCGTCTCCGTCCGCTGGCCTCTCGCCGTGGTGGCCGTGGCGGCACCCGTCGACGAGCTATGCCACTCACAAACGGCCCGCTGCCGAAACGGCCGGCTTTCAACAGCCTGCACAAGGGGTGGAGGAGGGAGGCGTGCGGAGATCAGACGGCCGCATCGACGCGGTTACAGGGCGGGGCGCATCGACCTCGCGTCTCTCTTCTGCGCACAAACGCCTGCGCACATTTGTGCAACCATGCGCAGCGCAGCAGCAAGCGTGCCCGGGCGCGCACGCCATTTACACGAATGTGGTGCACATTCTCCCCCGTCAAACCCACGCAGGCACATCGGACGGACCCGGCTCGGCTCCCGGGTCAAGACGAGTCGGTCGGAGAGTACGTACTGGGCCATCCCCGCTACGGGTGGGCCGGGCACCTGTTGGCGTAACGCCGGAGGGAGGCGGGACTTGAGCGTCACCTGTCGCTCCGCCCGGCGCACCGTGCCGTAACGTAAGCTGGTAGGGCGAGCCGGCGCCGCCCGCCGCCGAGTGGCGCTTGCCTCTGGCGGCCGCCCGTGAGCCGGCCGCCACGCCGCGTGTCCGGCTGCGCGGGCCGTGTGCGGCGTCTCGTGCCGTGCTCGGGTGAGCGCCGCCCGCTCTTCCTCCGCCGCCGCAGCTCCCAGGTCTTCTTCGGCCCGTCGCCGGACTGTTGCCGGGTGCTGACGATGGGGCGCCGCCTGCCCTCATCGCCGTGTATCGAGGTCAGATGTCATCGTGCCGCGGATATTGCCGCTCGTCGCTCTTTGTCGGTGCGGCGTCGGCTAGGCGCGCGTTACACGCGTCGCTGCGCACGGAGAGAAATGTCGGCCGGATATCCGTAGGGCTGTGATGATCGGTGATGGGAAGCCCCCCCCCCCCCCCGCCACAGCCCTCCGTTGGCGGTTCGGGAGGGGTCTGCCTCGAGCGACAGCAGTGAACACCTGCTCGTTGTTTTGCGATATCGGCGAGTGGTCGTGGCCGCAGCTGTGTGTGCCGCGCACGTGGCGTGGCTGTGGCGGTCGTCGGCGACGACCGTCCTCCAGGCTAGAGCGCGCCGACAACCAGCCGGCCACACGGGCAGGAGTCGGCCGGAGGACAGCCCCTCTGTCTGCCGCAGGCCGGGGTGGACCGAAGGATAGCTCCTCTGTCCGGCGCAGGCCGGGATCGGCCGGAGCACAGCTCCTCTGTCCGGCACAAGCCGGACAGAGGGTCGGCCGGCGGACAGTTGCTGGCACTGACCAAGGTCGGGCGGCAGGTCGGACGGCAGGCGGCACCTGTCGGCCGAAGTGTGCCGCTGGACAGTGGCTCGCAGCTGTCATCGCCTGCCCGCTGCCAAGCCGCCCGCTGGCCGGCCGGACGGAACAGGCGGCCAACTGCCGGTCTGCGGTAGGCCCGGGCGCACGTTCCGGCGGCAGACGACCAGCGCCGCTGCTCCTTATATAATGTCGCTCTGTTGCTGATATGAAGCTGCGGCCGGGTGCGTTTCCGGTCGTTAGTGGACGGCGTGGTCTGAACGACTTGACGCCTCCTCGCGTTCGGGGCATCACAAGCCGCGCGCCACGTTGCACCAAGCCCATAGGACCTGTGCCTGTCAGTCATCATTCCCTATGTTTTACCCGGAGAGCGACGCCCTGATCTAGATCGATAATTTTCTGCTCTAATCTCAATAAGCACGTGTGTTGTATAACTTCGTCATTTGGAATGCGTGCACGCATTCCCGCCGTGTGGTCATCGACCTGCGTGTGCTGTGCAGTTTCTGCTCTAACGTCAATAAGCACGTGTGTTTTATAACTTTGTCATTTGGAATGCGTGCACGCATTCCCGCCGTGTGGCCATCGACCTGCGTATGCTGTGCCGGCGAGTTGAGCTCCGCCGGCGTTGTGACCGTCTTGTGACGTCCGCCTGCTGTGTCGTCTCCGCAGGCGTGTCTGGACGGCCCAATGGGCAACCGCGTGTCGGGCGGCAACAGCGGCGGCGGCGTCGACGAGCCGGGCGCCGGCGCCGCGGCCACCGGCGACGAGCAGGACGAGCCCGAGCTGCCGCCGCCCATGCGCGTGCTGGAGGACCCGGCCGCCTCGGCGGCCGTTGGGCCGGGCACTTCCGCCGCCGCCACCGCCGACAGTAACGCACACGGGGTGAGTGGACGGTCGGCGCGCGGTCTGAGGCCGCACGAGCCCTCATAACGCGTCCTGTTCTCAGGCCTAATTCAGCTGCGATGACGTGTGTGTGTAAGGTGAAGCCTGTTTCAGCGGGCTGCGACGTGGCTTCGCGGCTCTGCAGGCGCGGCGAACGCCGTGTGTTTCGCTGGCGCTGTTCTGCAGCCGTGTGACCTGTTGCGACAGTGGCCGCGACTTCAGCTGACTGGGATGGCGCGGCTGATGGTGATCCGGGACTGTGGCGGTGACCGGAGGCCGCACCTGTGACCTGAGGTCGTGTTTCAGCCGGTGCTGGTGGGCGGGGCGTCGGCCGAGCGAGCCGCCTCCGAGCTGGAGCAGATTGTCAAACAGCGCCTGGTAATGCTGACCGCGTGTATTGCCGACGCTCCCCTGTGTGCGTAGCGTAGCTGACGATCCGGCCAGCCGGCCGGGGCGTCAGGCAGCCGCCGCATGCCGGCCAGCTGCGTGTGCCGCACGTGCTGCTGCACGGACCGACGCTGGATCACGCACACTGGCTCGCCCCGGCGCCACGCATGCCCGCAGCTGTACTGCGCCTTGGCGTGTTTGTGTGCTCCTTTTCACGTTCTGTTTTCACGTCTTAGTGGCTGACCAGTCGAGCTTTGCATGTGTGTGTGTGTGTGTGTGTGTGTGTGTGTGTGTTGTTGTGTGTGTGTGTGTGTGTGTGTGTGTGTGTGTGTGTGTGTGTGTGTGTGTGTGTGTGTGTGTGTGTGTGTGTGTGTGTGTGTGTTGTGTGTGTGTGTGTGTGTGTGTGTGTGTGTGTGTGTGTGTGTGTGTGTGTGTGTGTGTGTGCGTGCGTGCGTGCGTGCGTGCGTGCGTGCGTGCGTGCGTGCGTGCGTGCGTGCGTGCGCGCGTGCGTGCGCGCGTGCGTCTGTGCTCTGGCCGACCTTTGGTTGTATTGTGCTGTTTGCATGGCGTGATGCGGCCAGCGTGCCGTCCCGTAGCCGAGTACAGTGTTTAAGAGAAGCCGTGCGGAGCGTCGTCCGGCACCTGGTCGTCCGCTCGTCTTCACCGGCGCGGTGTGCGTCGAACGCCGGTCCCTGCAAGTCACGGCGGATGACACAGCCTTGGGTAGCCTCCCCGACGCCGCCAGCCCGCTTATTCTTCACGCGTAGAGCTGCCTGTGGAGCGTTGGTTTCGAAACCCGTCACGCCCCGGCCCGAGAGGCCTCTTGCGCCGCCGCGGCCCGCGCTGTCTGTCCGCCGAGGCCCTCGCGTGTTTGTGAGTCTGTGTGTGGATGGGTGTGCGTCCATGTATACGACATTGGGCTGACGTGGGAACAAAGCGTGCTTTGTCGATAGATTTGAATTCGCCTGTCGCTCTGCGACGAGCCTGGAGATTTCTGCGTCGTCTGACCCGTTTGGTACGAGTGACGTCATGCCCCGAGATGGGGCGTTCGCAGAACGGCTGCGGACGAGTGCAAATTTAGTCGAAAGTGGCGGTGATCTCTTCCCGGGATACGGCTGCTGGACGTTGTAGCGGTGCTCCCGACGCTGACTGTGGGGGGGGGGGGGGGCAGTGCTGTATCGGTAGTGACCGCTCGCCGGGGGGGGGGCAGTGCTGTATCGGTAGTGACCGCTCGCCGGGGGGGGGGGCAGTGCTGTATCGGTAGTGACCGCTCGCCGGGGGGGGGGGGGGGGGCAGTGCTGTATCGGTAGTGACCGCTCGCTTGGTCGTCGGCCTAACTGTAGGCGCCATATGGTGTCAGATACTGACGCGATAGCGCAGCGTCAAAGTAACTGAACCGTAACCGCCTTTTCCCATCAGCAATAAAATCACCCATTTGTGTGAATGTCTGCTCGGTGCCATGTGAGCTAGCTCGAGGAGTTGGCCTAATCCGATTGCGAAATGTAATTACAATGAACTAACTGGCCCGGTCATAAATTGTCCGGCCGGGACGCCCTAATTCAATCCCGACTGCTTTATTGAGCAGATATATTGCCTGGCGTGCTGGCGATGCGATTTTTGGCCGGGGGTCGGGCGAGTGGCGCCGGGGTGCGGCGTCCGTGGCATCAGCCGGCGACTGTTGCCGCCACCTGCCGCCGACCCCGCCAGCCTCGCCGGACGCCGCCGCGCTGCGGAGTCGGCGGTTTGTCGCGCTGATGCCAGCCGGGCCTGGTGGTGCCGCTCTTGTCCCATGCGATCGATCGGCGCCGCGCGTTCTTTCTACTGCGGTTTAATCTTTTCGGGCGTCGTCGGTCGCACCTCGCCGTTCATCTTTCTGTCCGGCTTTTCTGGCAGGCTTTGGCCTGCCGTTATTCTGCGGCTGATCTTCCGTTGGTCGTCCGCTATTGGCGCTGTGCTGACGCGGAGCGCCGGCACTGGCGCGTGCTGCTGCGTCTGTCGGCCGGCCTAGCCCGGCCCGAACCGAAGGCGCCGCTCGGACCCCGCTGCTGTGTGTGCATACCTCCCCCGGGGCCGCCGGTGGGGGTCGGCAGACGTCGCGAAACGCAGCTGGCGGCGATGGCCGGATGTTGACGTCGCTCGGGCGCCGTTTTGGCGTGTCCGGTCGCGACTCACTCTGTCATGCACCGCCCAGCGGCCTCCGCGGTCGCGCTCGCTGTGTGGCGTCTCTCGCACCTCGCCGTCCGCGCCTGGTGGTCGGCGGTGAGCGGCAGGCGGTGAAGCGGCTCCGCAGCCCAGCGGGCTCGGTCCCCTCCCTCCGGCCGCTGGGCTGGCGCGAGCGGGCCGAGCGGCGCCGCCGATCCGGCTCGCCGAGACGGTCATCTCTGACGCACGGAAGGGCCGGTCGAACGGCGCCCGGCTCCGGCAGCGGACGTGCCGCCCGTCCACCCGTTGACGACGGTCGAGCCGCGCGCTGACAGTCGGGGCCGACCACCAGACGCCGTCACCTCTGCGGACTGCCGGGCGGCCGGACCGGCAGCAGAGAGACACGTGTCGGCCAGAGACGCGGCCGGTTCGCGGACTGCGGTGACGGCGTGGCTTGTCTTGGCGGCCGTGTGCTGTCTGTGGCCGTGTGGGCTCGTCTGGCGCGGAGTGGTCTCCTGTGGGAGGGCACCGGCTCGACTGCACTCGGTGCCCGGTGCGCGCGCCGGAGATCGGCTGACCGTCTATGCGTTGCTGCAGTCGTGCCGTGCGCGGCAGCGTAGCGTGCCGGGTCCTGGAGAGCCTGGCCGCCGTCGGCGCGCGTGTGTGCCGCCGTCTGACGCCGCCCGTGCCGGCAGGAGGAGCACACAGAGCTGGACGGCTCCGACGGCAGCGGCCGCGCCGAGCTAGGCGCCGACGGCGCGCAGGCCGGCAGCTCCGAGGACGAGGAGGAGGAGCATTCCAAGCAGCAGAAAGCGCTGCGGAAGCGCAGCTACGTCATCAAGGAGCTGGTCGACACGGAGCGAGAGTACATCCGCTCGCTGAGTCAGGTGAGCTGCACGCGCGCGCCGCGCCGTGGTGGGACGGGCTCCGGGAACATCTCCCCATGCAGGGAGCAAAGGTGTTAAGGCACGTGCGGCGCGAGGCATCGGTTTCGTGGGCTTGTACGGGCTGGTTGGGCTGTGTAAGAATTAGTAAAAATGACGCAACTTAACTGGCTCGTACGCCTCGGGGATTGTGCCGACTGATCGGAGGGAATCGTGGTCGCTTTGTGTGAAGGTGACTAATGCAATCCGAAGATATTGCATTTCAATTGGCGGCTGTGAACGAGCTGGATCTCCAGGGAGCGTAAGACTGGATGCAACGTCACCAGAATGGCTAAGGTAGACTGGGTTTCCTGAGTAG